CACAGATGCACAGACACATGCAGGCACGCGTGAAGAGAGGGAGCCAGGCATGCAGCGGACGTTCACACATAAGCCGATGCACGTGCGTGCAGCCACAGACTTCTAGACCTCCAACTGAGGTCCAAGGGGACAGTCACACTGGGACACACTGTCACTTCTACACACATGAAGACTGTCTCTCTCACACACACACACACACACACACACACGCACACACACACGCTTCCCTGCCCGAATGACTCATCTGCAGACACACACACACAAAGGCCTGAAAGTGCAATCCCATCCACGCACACCACGCGGCACACACGTCCCCCTGGGAAGGAAGCTCTGGGCTCCCCCTTAAGAGGTGGCCTTGTCTCTGGAATCCCAGCACGAGGGCCCGCCTGGAAAAATGAGACACAAACTGTGGTCGTTCATTGCCCAACACACTCACCCTGCCCTGCCCAGGGTCAGGGAGGAGCCAGGGCCAGGCCTCGCGTGCCTGCCCACGCACCCATTGCCACCGGCAGCAGACACCCGGCCACCGAAGCAGACAGCTGGGATTGCGAGGGTTCTTGCAACATCTCCCCTGTCCTCAGAGTTCAGCTAAAGTGTCTCTTCCCCCGGGGAAACTCCCCAGGCTCCTGTGGGCATGCTCAGCCTCCTTTCGGAATTCAGGTTCTGCCATGCCCAGCTATGTCACTTTGGGCACGTCACTTCACCTCTTTGCGTTTCGCTTCCATCTGTGTAACATGGAGGTAGCGCAAGCACGTGTTGAACATACAGTCACGCGCCGCATGACGACGTGTCAGTCAGCGACGAACCACACAGATGAGGGTGGTCCCATCAGATTATAACAGGGTTGAAAAATTCCTATCGCCTGGTGACGTCTTGATGATCCGAACTATGTAAGCCTAGGCCAATGTATGTGTTTATGTCCCAGTTTTTAATAAAAAAAAGTTAAAAATTTTTAAATTTTAAAAATGGAAAAAGAAGCTTATAGAATAAGAATAAAAAGAAAATATTTTTGTAGAGCTGGACAATGTGTGTTTTAAGCTGTTATTACAAAGGAATCAAAAAGTTAAAAAAAATAAAAGTTGGCCAGGCGTGGTGGCTCGGGCCTGTAATCCTAGCACTCCGGGAGGCTGAGGTAGGAGGATCGCTCGAGCTCAGGAGTTCCAGACCAGCCTGAGCAAGAGCGAGACCCCATCTCTACTAAGAATAGAAAAATTAGCCGGGCATGGTGGCGCGTGCCTGTAGTCCCAGCTACTCGGGAGGCTGAGGCAGGAGGATCGCTTGAGCCCAGGGGTTGGAGGTTGCTGTGAGCTAGGCTGACGCCATGGCACTCTACCCTGGGCATCAGAGCCAGACTGTGTCTCAAAAGAAACAAAAAAAAAAGTTTATAAGGTAAAAAATTTACAGTAAGCTAGGGTTATCCTTTTTTTTTTTTTCCAAAATATTAATTAAGGTGGTACAAGGGTTTTTATCACATGGCTATCTTGTAAGACGCTTAAGTCAGGGCTTTTGGTGCGCCCGTCACCAGAACAGCGTACATCGTACCCAACAGGTAAATTTTTATCCCACGCCCACCCTCTCGCCCTCCCCGCTTCTTGGTTTCTCATGTCCTTCACATCGCTTGGTGCCCATGTATACCGATCTATCAGCTCCCGTTAAGGTTATTTGTGAAGAAAAGTATTTTTTATCAATGTAGCGTAGCCCGAGTGCAGTGTTTAACGTCTGCAGGAGGGTACAGTGACATCCTAGGCTGCACACCCACCCAGCACCCACTCACTGACTCGCCGGGAGCAGCTGCCCATCCCGCAAGCTCCATCCATGGTACGTGCCCTACACAGGGTACCACTTTTTACCTGTTCACTGTGCTTTTTCTATGTTTAGATATGTTTAGATACACAGATACTTACCGTTGTGTTACCGCCGCCTACAGTACTCAGTACAGGAACGTGCTGTTCAGGTCGTAGCCTAGAGTACACTCTATGACATTTCAGTAACGATGACATTGCCTAGTGACCGTGTTTGTCAGAACGTGTCCCTGTTAAGTGCCACGTGACTGTGTCCATTAACGGAGCACACCCCCTGTCCTCCTGTACAGAGCATGCACGGTTTCTTCTCTCGCCCCCACAGAAAGAGGACCCAGAAGCCAGCCGTGGGGCGACTTGGCAAGCGTGGGGACCAGACGGCCCCACCTGGCAGGGATGGAAGATGAGGACTTGAAACCCGAAATTTCTGCTCCGGTATCTCAGAGGGGGACTTAGGAGGTCATTTCCTCTGCATCGGCATGAAGATCCGAAAGGGTGGAAATGAGCCGGTGACTCTGTCTGGCTGAGGTTGCCTCATGCCCCGTCCCCACCCGCCCAGGCCCACATCCTCCCCGCAGACGCTGGGCACTGGGCTGGCGGTCGGAGGGCTGAGAGCCCCTTCCCACTCCTGGAGGGACCGTGGGCAGGACCCCTCCCCAGCAGCAGGCTGCCATGTTCAGGAGACCAGCGCTCAACCTCCCCAGTCTGTGCTGCTGTGGGCAGGCGAACGAGGTCCCCAGGGTGGAAAGTCAGGGTGGTGGGCTGTGTGCCAGTGAATGTCCCCAACCCCAGGCCAAGGCTGACCAGACCAGTTTCCTTTGCCTTGGGACTCTCTGGGGGCCTGGGTGGGACAAGAAGGTGGTTCTGTGAGCCCCCACCACCTGCCCGAGTGGACCCAGAACATCGGCCGCATGCGAGGTCCACAGTCACAACCCTGGAAGCCTCTCCGCTTCTCAGGTGTCCTCAGGGCACCTCCCAAGCCCTGTGCCCCTGACCCCAGGTGGCTCTCAGGGTCTCCCCAGCATTCCTGAGTACATGTCCCTGTCTGTAACCTATTGAAGCCAAGAGCTGGCCCAGTGACCCCCAAGGACCTTAACATCTAGGAGCTAAAAACCCTCCGTACGGACACACTTGGATATGTGGCAGAGACACAGGTGGACACACTGACCTCCAGGTCCCGGTCTGAGTCCTGCGGCCCGGGTGAGGGGACATGGGATTGCCATGGACTAGGGCTGCCCAAGGACTAGCCGAGGCTAGAGTGGCACCTGGTATGAGACACCTGGGAGAGGCCTGAGGCCCTTGGAGAGCCAGGGAGACAAAACACCAAAGCAGGCAGTGACTCACAGGTCAGCTGGACATGGGCCAGGAGCTCTCTAGCTGCAGGTTAAGCGGCCCCAAGAATCCTGATTCGAAAGCCCCACCTCAAGCCCAGGACACCACCAAGCCAGGGCCTATACCAGGCCCTTCAAGGAGAGGAACTGGGACTCCCCCTGACCCCAAACCAAACTCCAAGGAAAAGCCCCCCTCCCAGTGTTCCTGAAGGAGCTATCTCCTAGGTCTCCACGCACATGGGGAAACTGAGGCTGAAGGGAAGGAGCTGGCCCAGGTCCCCTACTGCTCACTCACCGGGCTGGGGTTGTGCTCTCAGCTCCTCTGATCTGCAGCCCGAGGCCCCAGACTCTGATCCCCAGGGGCAAGGTGGGCACACCGCCAGAGGCCTGGTCTCTGTTCTGGCTTTTCTGGGGAGCTACGCAGACCTCTGAGTACACAGAAGTCACACCCTTCTTCTTGAGAGTGGGCTGGTCTGGGCTGAGAGCAGCCGATAACCTCCCTGGTGCATCTGTGGGGCCCCATCAGGCCACAGCAGAGTCTTCGCCTCGCCGAGCAGGGAGGCAGCCCCTGAGAACAAAGACGGCTCAAGGGAGCCTTCAGGCCCCTGTCCTGCCCTCCTGGCCCTGCACCTAAGCAGGGAGAGGCCAAGTATGCAGGGTCCTTCCCCCAACTCCAGGAGAGCCCTGGTGGCAAGAACGGACTGATCTCTTAGCCAACAAAAGGGACAGCCAGACCTTAGGTAAGACCCAAAAGAAAACACGCAACAGCCTGGAGGCAAAGCTATTTCAGGCCCTCCTTGGTGGGTTTCCCAGCAGGCCAGCCGTACCGTACCTACGGTGGCAGGCAAGGCCAGGGGACCCTCAGCAAGGAGGGTCTGGGAGTCTCTGCCCATGTTTAGAACCTTCTGGGCTATTCTGGAAGGAGCAAGGAATGAAGATCAAAGAGCTCAGACGTCAAAGGCAGGCAGCTGGGGATGGGAGTCACGTGACCGTGGCTGAGTCTTGTCACTTCTCAAAGTCTCGGTTCCTCATGTGGAAGATGGTGATGGTTCACGTACCGCTCGCAGAGCCGTGGCGAGAAGTGAGCAAGTGAAGGGAGCCCGGCCCCGAGACAGAGGGGCCGTGAGGTGCAGCCGTGGCTGAGACTCAGACCCAGGTGAGCCCCAAGGACCACAGCCCAGCCCAGCCATTACAAAGTCCTTTATTAACAAGTCAATAAAAAAAGGAGAGACAGAGATGTAAAAATACTTTTCTTAGAGGCCCCACAGGGCAAGGCACTGTCAGGACTCACCTGCCCAGGGAAAGCAGCCCAGCCAGAGGCACAATGCAAGTCAGGGCCTAGTCCAGGTGACAGCTGGCCCGGGGAGGCTGGGGGACAGGGTAGGGGATGGCTCAGGCCTCAGATAAGGGACTGTGCAAATGCCAAGGCCGTGCAGGGAGTGATGGGTTAGGCCCCGAGCACCGTGCTCCCCTGGTAAGGGCAAATTCTCGGTGGGGCAAGCACCTGCCCACTCCACCTGTGGGTGCACACACGTGTCCACGTGAGAGCCAGTTCCTGCACGCAGCTTACAAACAGAAAGTGGGATGAGGGGTCCCAGGCAGGAATGGGGGTCTCATCCCAGAGCTTAAGGAAATAGCTTAGAGAAGTCTCTGCCAGCCTAGGCAATACAGCGAGAACTCGTCTCTACAAAAAAAAAAAAAAAAAAAATTAGCCGGGCGTGGTGATGCACACTTGAAGTCCCAGCTACTTGGGAGGCTGAGGCAGGAGGATCACTTGAGCCCAGGACTTTGAGGTTGCAGTGAGCTATGATGATGCCACGGCACTCTAGCCCAGGCAACAGCGTGAGCCCATGTCTCAAAAAAAAAGTCTCTGGAAACCTGGAGACAAGGAGACACAGAGAGGCTGCTCTGCTGCCCACAGGCCTCAGGAGGCCAGGCCCTCCTGCCGTTGCTGGAGGACCTCGATGACACTGCCAATACCATCCTCAGGTACCTGTGGGCATGTAAGTGGGAGGGAACAGTGAGAGCTGAAGTAGGCCAGGGATACCCCAACTTCCTGGCCTAGCTGAGACCCCCTCCTGCCCACCCACATTTTTGGGCCTCACTGTCCCTGCACGAGCCCCCAACCCCAGCCTGCGGTGCTCACCAGGGCGTGGTCAAAGTTGAAGGTGCTGATGTAGTAGGCAGAGATGTCGGCAGCAGCCAGGGGGCCTGCGATCTGGGCCACGATCCCACATTCATCTGAGTGTCGAGGAGGGGTGCATGTGGCTCACCCCAGTCGCCCAGAGGCCCTCCTGAACCCCCAACCCAGGGAGCAGCCCTCACCAAAGCCCAGGGGCTGTCCACCGATGCGCACCATCCTCCAGAGCTCCCCGGATGAGCTGGTCAGCAGGAGGTCGCTGGGGAACCTAGGGAGGCAGGTGGCTGGTGGGCAGGGCACCCCATCTGCCGTGCCATACCGTGAGCCCCTGGGGAGGTCTGCCAACTGATCTCAGGGTCTAACCACGTCCCCCTCCCCAGGGCTGCTTAGGGTCTGTGGCCCGGGGATCAAGGGTCACATACTTTTTCTGCGTCTCAGCGTCCATGACAATGGAGATATAGCCCTCGATGAGAGAGAAGGCAAAGAACGGAATGGAGCTGGGTTCAGGACTGCCAGAGGCTGCCTCCTTGGGGGTGCTGGGGAGGAACAGGAGGTACAAGGGCTCTGCCAGGCACCCAGCCCACTCCACCTCCTCCCACTCAGCCTCCAGACCCCTGGGAAGGGGCTGGCACAGATGGCCTGGGCAGGCCCTCTTGTCTCTGCTCCGCTGTGCAAGGGCCCAGCCCTCTGGAAGTTGTGGGCAGGAAGGAGGGAGGATGATGAACCCTGCCTGTGCCAAAGACAAAGGACCCCGGGGCAGAAGGTGGGATCAGGGCACAGCTCAGGGGTGGCTCTGCTAATACCGCAGGAGAGAACTCCAGCTTTGGGGTTGGGACCTTCCCCAAAGGTCAGTGAAGGACAAGTGGGCATGATTGGCTATCAGGAACCCCAAGACACAGAACAAGGCACAGACCGGAAGGCAGTGGGACACGGCATAGCAAACAGTGGTGTGAGGACAGAGACAAAATGCAAACAAAGCCCACCTGTGCGAGTAGAAAAGGACATCGATGAGGGTGGTGGCGATGGCTGGCAATGTCTCAGGGTCCAGAGTGAGGACACAGAAGCGGTTCTGTGGGCTCTCGATGGGATGCACCGTGGGGCTGGGCCCTGCTCAGGAGGGACCAGGGCATCCGTGGGCTGGGGCACCCCCTGGTGGCCACTCGGGGATGGGCCATGCTCTGCAGGAGCAGGCCCTTGGGGCCCATCTCCTGAGACAGACAGTGTCAGCTGGTCTCCCCACATCCACAGACCCACCCGCACAGGGGACAGGCCCCAGTGGGAAGAGGAGGCCCTGCCTAAGTTTGGGTGTCAGGGGGTGGCCCTCACCATGCTGGGCTCGGGGAAAGCCGTTGGTGGAATCATCCCTGGCCACAGGCACAGGCTCCCCGCCCACCTCACGGTAAATGTCGAATTCCTGGGCCAGCGTGTGGATCACCACGGACAGGTCCTGCTCCCGTACCTGGGGCACAGGCAGGTGAAACGTCACGTGGGTCCCCAGACACCCACACCTACCCTGCCCTGCACCAGTGGGAAACTTACCAGGATGAAGTCCGTCTGGTAAGTGGACAGCATCAGCACAGACACGTGGTGCTCAGCAAAAGGCGCGATGACTGAGCGGGCGATCTTGGTGACCCCAGCAGCCTGTACCGCTGCACCACTGTGAGATGACACGTTCAGCACCAGCCATGTGGCCTCAGCCACTTGCAGGAACTCGGATGGAGGTAGCTCTGTGGGTAGGGTGCACATGCCTAGTCAGGGCCTGCAGGGCTGGCCCCTGCCCCTCTCTGAGCCTCAGTTTCTCTGTCTGTGCCTTGGAGGGCTCTATCAAGGTAAGGGCAGGTCTGGAGACTAGGGCTATCTCCCCCCGTTTCTGCTCCTGATGTCTGTACATATGCAAAGACTGAGAAGTGCTTCAAGTGCCGGCCTGCTGGGGATTGAAACTTCCTGTTTAAGACCAGAGCTCCAGATTCAGACAGACCTGGGTTCGAATCCCAGCTTTGCTATTTACTTGCCATGTGACCTGGGGCAAGTGATTTGAGTCTGTTTCCTCATCTGTAAAATGGGATGACAATTATCTACCTCATGATAGTGTATTCTGTGGGTTAGCAGAGGCTCTACACCACATGGCACCACCAGGGGGCACCAGCAGATGGGGGTTGGCTGGGTATTCCCCCTCCCCTTGTGCAAACTCAGACTTTCCTGCAGTACAAACAGGGAAACTAAGGCCTGAAGTGGAGCAGGGCGGGGAGAGGCCAAGCTCAGTTGGCTGGCCTGAGACTCCAGGCCTGTGAGGACGGGCCAGGCCAGCAGGGGTAGGAGCCAGACGTCTGCTCCAGGGCCCAGGGAGGGACCAGGCTGGTGTCCAGCCCTGAGCAGGGGCCAGGTCCAGGGTGGCTGCTGTTCACCCAAGCACAGCTAGGAGGCCTCCAGGACCCTGCCCTGGGATGGCTGCCTGTCCTGCATTCCTTCCTCAACCCTCAGCTCCGAGAGTTCCCAGACAGCAGAGGAGGCGGCGGGACCCAAACCAAGGAGATAAATCCGGGAGGAAATAATGTCCAGGGGGTTGTAACAGCCACAGGGAACCATAACTGCAGCCCCGCCGCTAGCCTGAGACTGCTAAGTGCCCCTCATACACGGCCCCCCACGGGTTTTAAGTGTATAAAGCCCTCATGGGACCCTATTATATCAGAACCATAACTGTACCCATTTTACATAAGAGGAAACAGCTCAGCGTGGGGAAGGGCACATAGCCAGTGAGCGGTGGAGTAGCATTTGAACCCTGATCCATATGCTTTTAAGGCCCGAGCTCTTGGGGCGGATCCCAACACATGGTGAGAATACTGAAGAGGGGAGCAAGACAAGCCCCTCCCGTGCTCCCCCTTCGCAGACCAGCCCCCACCTTTAAAGCCCTCCTCGTCCACCATGAGCGTGTAATCCTCAGGGGTCTCCGTCAGGCTGAAGAAGTTGCACCTGGTTGGGGGTGGGGAGCATCTTCAGCTTGGGGCGGAGAACTAGGGGGTGGCGGCAGTGGACATCTATGAGAGATGTCCCTGAGAGACCCCCGCCGGGCGCCTTCTCGCCCCCTGAAGGCTCAACTTCCTTCCCAGGGCAATGGAGCGTGGGCCCTATCCCGCGGACTTATTTTCCGCCTCCCGACCTCCCCAGGAGCCCTCCGCCATCCATTCCTGGAGGGAGAGGCTCACGCCGCGGCAACAGCCCCAGGGGCGTTGGACCTTGGGCCCCCTAGTCCAGCGTCTCTGACCTTAAGGGAGGAGTCTTGGAAGGAGGTCTCCGCAGTGGCCAGGTAGCAATGCCCCCATTTGACACCACTCAGAGTTAAGCACTGCTGACCCCAAGCTGTTTGTGCCTTGGCCCTGGGAGGGGGCCGGATAGGCGGCGGTCCCAGGGAGGGTAGGCCCAGGCCGGATGGCGGCCGGAGGAGCAGAGCCCTCCCCTCCCGCTCCCGCCCGCCTGCCTCGCGGCGGTCCCAATCCTCCGACCCTAGCCCGGAGCCACAGCAGAGCCCCCAAACCCCATCTGTGCCCTCGAACCCGGGCGCGCACCGGCTGCGGTGGGGCAGGAAAAGCAGCTTGATGAGCGGGTGGGTGTAGAGCCAGAGACCGGGGCGGGCGAGGCTCAGCACCCGCACCCGGTGCTCTAGGATGTGCAGCTCCATCGCAGCTCGCGCGGACCCGACCCCGAAGCAAACTAGACCCAGGCCGCGCGGGAGGCGGGGCGGCGGGGGTGGTGCCGAGGATTTAAAGGCGCCGCTGAGCGGCCGTGTCCACGCCGCCTGCTACATGGCAGACCCGCCCAGCCCAGCGCTGCGACCCGCTCCCTGACAGCCACGCCCCGCGTGAGGCGAGGCCTATGGGTGACCACGCCCCCTTCCAACACCAGGTCCTCACCTCGCTTTGCAGCTCACAGAGCCGGCCCCGATGGCTCCGCCCCTTTAGCATTGGCTGCCGAATCACCGCCTGACCCCACCCCCCGCCTCCTCCATGCCCCGCCCCTGCCGCGCCCCCTCCCTGGGCTCCGCCCTTTCCGCAAGACGCCAGCAGCGCTGGGGTGGGAGCATCCCGGAAGCTGGGGGTCACTTCTGTCGTTCAGGCTCACACGTGGGTCTTATGACTGAGGTCATTGAGACTCAGATGAAACGAACCGGAGCTCAGCTGGGACCCGAACGCTGCCCCAAAATCCCCGGAGCGTGGAGGGGCAGAGATTCGCTGTACACCTCAGTAGAACCTGTGATTCGCTTCCAACAGTGGCACCTTTCTCCTTCCTTTCGTGGCTCAGCAGGTGGCAGGGCCGACAACCCAGAATTGGTATTGATGCATACCCCTCCCCCGCTTTGTGAGTAGGCTGATAAGATGAACCTGGCCTGGTGCCCTACTCGTTCCTCTCACTCAACTCTCAGAGTAGAAGGCTCCCCACCAGGGGCACAGACATAGGAGAGTCCTAGCCACCTCTGCAAGAGCAACATACTTTGGGGTAGGGGACTGAAGGGGGCCCAGGCCTAAGGGCTTGAGGTCCCACAATACAAACCAAGCCCAGGAGTGCTTGAGCCAGGAATGCCCAGGGCACAGACTTTGAGGGTCAGGCCACACAGGTGAGGCTCACTGGATACTCAGACCTTAGGCCTGGGACTGGAGCCCTGCCAAGGTCTCCCCAAAGCCTGCAGCCATTAACAGAACCCAAGAGGCCTGAGCACATCTAAACTTGCTTCAGGCCCAGGGTGGCCCCCAGCACTGGCAGACACCCCAGATCTTATCAGGCCTCTGCACGTCTAAGACCCCAAGGCTGAGCAGGCATCAGCATGCCCAAGTTGGCTCCATAGTAGGGGGCCAGCCATGCTCCAGGGGTCCCTTGTCTGGCCCGAGCACCTGAGGCCTCAGAGCTGAGGCTTTGCACCAAGCAGGTTAAAGCAGGCCTCAGGCCTGATTGGGACCCAGCAGGCCTGAGCAGGCCATCTGCCTGCTCTGGATCCTCCACCATAGGCAGATTAAAAACAAGCTAAGCCTCCTCCCTGGACTCTCAGTCTCAGCACATTCCTGTGGAACACTGTACAGCCGCCACATCCTGGCCTGTCCCCTGGAGGACTAGGGAAAGGAGGAGAGTTTCTCAAAGGCTAAGCCCATCTTGTCAATGGCAGGTACTGATGGGGTGGGGCATCACAGGGGTGAGGGGTAGGGGGCAGGAGTGGGGTGGCCTGCCCTGATGGTCTCTTTTGACCCTTTACCTCCCTAGGCCTCGGTATCCCCAGCTGTACCAGGACGGGATGTTCCAGGCCAAGGCGATGCCTGAAAGCTCCCAGGGAGGCTCTGCTCCTCCCTCCCCCACCCCTTCCCCTACGGCCTGGCCCAGCTCGGTGTCTGCCAAGAACAGCCGCTATTGTTTGACTGGAAAAGCTGCTTCCTCAGCAGAAGGGGGGCCTTTCCCAGAGACACCCTGTCCTCGCCCTTGCCAGTCATCAGGTTGTGACCGCAGGCCTGCCGGGGCCCTCAGTGGCAGTCAGGTCACCTGGAACCCCGGCCAGGAGAGGGAGCTGAGTGAGGGCTCCGGGTGCAAATCTGGCTTGGCTTTCCTCTCTCGGGGGAGGTTCCTTTCCCACTCAGCTCCCATTTCCTTGTCTGTAAAATGGGGATAACAAAACCTACCTGATCAGCCATGTGACACAACCAGTCCAGCCTGGCATGTGGCAAGTGCTCAGTTAATGCAAGGCAGCATTTTATCAAGGACGCAGACTTCTCCCCTCACTGCTCTGCCTCTGACCGAGGCCTGGGCTGAGGATGTGAAGACATGTGTGGTGCTCCCTCCTGCTGCCAGCCCCGGCCCAGAACCAGTGCTCAGAAGCTTACTGGGGCCTGGAGTGGCATCCTGCCCAGGCCTTGGAGGAGCAAGACCCTAAAACCTCTTCCTTAAGGAGCCTCCTCCCTCTCAGTGATGGGTAGGAACCAAGACCTGGGGAGCATGCCCTGCCCTGCCCCAGCACTGGGCTCCAGCCCTGGTGCCCCTCATCCATGGCAGAAGGTGGACATGGGGCAGTAGGGATGGGGTGAGTAAAACTGGGGGCTAAGAACAGGGGCTGGCCCTGGACGTGGCATGTCCTCTGGCACAGGTACTTCTCAGAGAGGCTGTGGTACTGGGCTAGGGCCCAGCAAGGGGGCCTCTGCAGGGCATGGAGAAGAGATGCTACGCAACAGGGTGGCACCCCCTGCCCAGTCCCTAGCTGCACACCAGGTCTACACAAGCCTGTTTATTTCTGTACAAAACCATGTTTCTATTTTACAAAGAGCACCCAACCCTCTCCCCTCACGCCAGTACCCTAGCCCTGGGGACCATCCCCCTAGGAGGAGGGGGCTGAGTGAGGCCCCACCCACTCAGTCCTGGCTTCTGCCTGCCCTGGCTGGGCTAGCCCGAGCTCCACTCTAGAGAAAATAAATAAGGAGGCTCAGGCAGAATCTGTGCTGGGCCAGCCAGACTCTCTCCCAACTCCGCAGCCAGGCGGCTGGGCCCTCAGAGGGTGGGCCTGCAGTGTCAGTCCATGAATCATGTAGGTGTGTGGAGACCCCGTCCCGGAGGCCTGAGCTGCTGGGGTTACAAGTAGGTATCCTCACTCTCTTGGGACGTCAGGCTCTCCTGGGAGTGGTGGTGGGCTGAGTCCTGGGGAGCCGAGTCTTGAGGGGCTGGGTCCTGGGGTGCCAGGTCCTGGGGTGCTGGGTCCTTTGGGGACACATCCTGTGGGGGACATGCATCTCCTGCAGCAGCCACCACCATGGCTTGATTTGGGGCTGGGGTCTTATCCAGCTGCCCACTCGCCTTTGTCCGCTTCCGCTGCTCCTTCTGGACCTGCTTGGGTGGCTTGGGCTTGGCTTTGGAACTTGGGAGGGGGGCATCTGGGGGCAGGCGGATGGATGGTGAAGGCTGCAGGGCAGGCCGGGGGCCGGGTTCTGCATCCAGGATGGCCTTGGCACCATGCAGCCTGGGCGGGGAGCGGCACTGCAGCTCACCTCGGGTCTCCTGCCAGCGCCGCAGCTGGATGAGATGCTCACGCTCAATCTGGCGCTCTGTCACCGGCAACTCTACCACCTGCAGAGGGTGACAGGCAGGTGGGCACCAGAAAGAAGGACCTTCCCCTTCTTCCCAGCCGGGGTCTCCCCTGTCCCTCAGCATCCTCCAGCCCTGACAACCAAATGCTGACCCCAGGAAGGACACAGGTCTAGTCCCAAGCTGTGGTCACAAGTCCCAGAGCTGAAGCCAGGTGAGCCAGACACTTGAGACCCTCTGCCTCTGAGGATAATGCTGCCTACAATTCATGAGTCCGCCTGCCCCACTGTGAGGCACGAGAGGTAAGGCTCAGGCAGGGCAAAACCTGCTCTCTGTCCCCAATACTGCCCAGGGCAGCCTGGCTGCCTGGGCTCAAATTCCAGCTCCATCACCTTCTGGCTGGGTGACTCTGGGGGAGACTGCTTTGTGACCCTGCCTCTGTGCCTCCATTTCCTCACGTGTGAAATGGGGGTGCTGCCACAGCCCTCAGCAGCTATTGGGAGAAGCAGGTGTAAAACAGGCCATTGCTCTTCTGCTTCTGCCCCACACACTGGCATCAGCCCTGCCCCCAGCCTGGCCCTCGCCTCAACCCAGAGAAGCTGGCTGTGCGTGTGTCACCTCATTACAGCCCCTAAGAGACAAGTAGCCATAAGGAAAGAAAAAAGGGAATAATAGAGCCAAAGCTGGGAATGAGGTACCAGTGAGGAAGAGAGGATGACAGGTCACCACTCCTCTTCCTTCCCGGCTGGCTCAGATAAGGCAAGCCCTGCAAAGCTAGGCTTCCCTGTGCCCCACACTCCTCACCCGGACAGGAGGATGAGGTCCACCCACACCCTACTGGGCTGCTGAGCAGCGGGCCTGGCACAGGTGACCCAGGGGCAGAGAATTACCAGGCTGTCCTCCAAAGGACACCCACGTCTCCCCCTCCCTTCTGGCGAGGGCCAGGTGTGGGCCATACCTCCTGGACCAGGAAGGCCTCCTGCATGATCTTGGGGCTGAGGCTCCGCAGTCGCTCGATTGTCTCGTACTGGCCCTGGCAGGCTTTGACCTTCTCGGGGGAGCCCAGCGCGTGCTTCAGCAGCACCAGTCCCACCCGGAAGATGATCTTGACCCCTGCAGGGGCGGGGGGGCAGGTGGTGAATGCAAGGGGCCTTTAGGGGCTTTCTCTGGAAAGAGAAGCTGCCTGTGGGCTGGCTGGGGGCGGGGCCACTCCTTCCAGTCCTGGCTGGTACCTTCACAGAAGAACATGTCCCAGACGCGCAGAACGGAGCTCCAGGGCAAGGTGCGTGCGAAGGCGCACATGAACCACTCTGTCATGTAGAGCAGCGGGTCGATCTTCTGCCGGCTGAGGTGCTTGTGGGCCACCGGTGACACTTTCTGCAGCAGTGAGAAGAGTATCTCCCCATCCAGCTGGATCGCCTCCTAGGGGGACATGGAGGCCACGGGGCCATGACCCTGGCCTGCAGGAGCCAGGGCAGGGACTACACCCCAGCGCCCAGCATCAGACAGGCACTTGTTCATTCCTCGGGCGGCTGCTCCCTGCAGGGTGCCAGATACAGGGTGCTGGGATACAACAATGAACAAAGCAGAGACAGCTGTCCCCTTCGTGTAACTCAGTGAGAAGCGGCACATGAGCACAATGAGAATGCGGGGAAGGGGAGGGGGCTGAGTGCCCGGGACAAGGCAGGAACAGGAATGTTCTTGAGCATGTGTTGGAACATGTGCCTGTCAGGGTCAAAGAAGCTCCCTGAGGGCTGA